TCGAGATGTCAAATGTCAACAGACATTTCTTTAGATTCTGTTTTTCTTTCTCTAGAAGTAGTCTTCAGAGTATTAGGTTTAAGGCTCTTTAAGAGTCATTAAAGATCTGTAGGTAAGGAGCATTTACAGACCTGAAGTATACGTCAAGGACAAAAAAAATCAAACCCAGCCCATCTTACTTAGATCAGAGCCTCACGTTGTTGGCTTGAACTGTTTAAGGCAAAAAGAAAAGGCTTAGGGAATGGAGAGGCTGACTGTTCATGTAGATCCTCTTTCGTCCAGTGAAAATACACCTATATTTGCAGATGTAAAAGTGAGAGGGGAAACATGCATGGCATATATAGCACCTGGGTCACAGTGCCAAGACCTACTAGTAAGTAGGCTGATTTTCCAGGCTCATGTCCAGATAAGTTATTCAGGACTGGAGCCAGGGAACCACTCAGAATCACAGAATGGTCGTCCAGCAGACGACCTTGGTCTTCACATCTTTCCACCATAGAGGTTAAATGATCAGTTCAAGTTCTCATAGCCCCTCCGTCCTGGAAACAGGACCGCCCACACCCTAGGTCTCAGGACGGTTCTTGGTCTCCAGCTTCTTATTTCCAACGCGTTCTTCAATGTCGGTCTCTGGGTCAGGCCGCCAGTGAGAGTCTTGTTAAAATAAGCAGCGAGATGCCTGGTAGGTTTTGTGGCTCGACCTTGTCCCTCTCAAGCCAGGAAACTGCCACCTCCCACCCGTGGCCTCGGGGCTGCGTCTGGCACCCGAGCCAGTTTGGATCATGTTCTCAGTCAAGGGGAAGCCAGCTCCTGGCTTAGGCCCCTGTAACTTCTCTGTGCTCTCATTCATTGGTGTCCAGGGATCTGTTTTATTTACTTGTTTTCATTCCCGGGAAGGAAAGGCCCTTCCTCTCTTTAGGAGGAAAGTATGGGTCAGAAAGTGAATTTTTCAGCACAGTGGGCTTGCTGAAAACTGCCGATTTTGAATTCATTTATTTTTAAATAATGATATGAGCACAAAAGTCACAAGCCTCCAAGATAGAGTGTCCAGACATAAGTTCGTTAAACTGGCTTTGGGGATTTCCCTCGATTATGAATAGTCGATAGATATTGCTAGAATACAGAAAATTATAAAGAAAATATAAAGTACCCAGTACTCTAGCCACTCAGAAATTAGTCTAAGATTTTTTAAAATGTGTATCCTCTTTTTATCAGTACATATGAAATATTTTTAATATATTTTTTATTAATTTCAGAGAGGAAAGGAGAGGGAGGAAAAGATAGAAACATCAATAATGAGAGAGAATCACTGATTGGCTGCCTCCTGCCCACCCCACACTGGGGACTGAGCCCACTGTGCTGACCAGGAATTGAACCATGACCTCCTGGTTCATAGGTTAACACTCAACCACTGAGCCATGCTGGCTTGACTAGTATAAAATACTTTTAAATGGGCTCATGTTATTCAAATTGTACTGTGGTTTGCTTTTTCTCTTCATCTATCTTGAATATTTTGCTAGTAATAGCCTGATTTTGATGACTAGTATGCATTTAAATTAAGCTTGAGAGTACACATTTCATAAATAATGCATATAACATGTGCTTACCTCACCTAGATTATGTATCTGCTCTCTGTCAGATACTGTGCTGGGCCAGTGCCCCCTACCCACCCAGAACCTGGTCTGATTGGAAAGCCCTAAGGTGGAGTGATGGCTGGAGCAGTCTGGTCTCCAGCTGCCCAAGGACGTAGAGACTGAGCTCAGTGGCCTCCTAAAAGATTCCAGAGTTTTTGCAGAATAAATAGATGAGACGTAGAATGAGAAGAAGGAGGTAGAATGGATGACAAGGAAAGGGAACTGAAGAGGCAGTTTGAATCATTTCAGCAGTAACCATGGGACCCTCAGGTTCTGGATTGCTTCTTACTGATCCAAACCTTGAAATCCCTGGGGACAGCTTGAAAGTGGGTGTGACTCTCAGCCCAGAAGAGGGGCACTGCGGTTACCAGCACAGGGCAGGGTTCCCGCATCCCCTACCTTCTAGCAGTGGGATCCCGGGTAAGTCAGTCTCCTAGGCCTCACTTTCCACACCTGTATGAAGGGAATCATATTGGTCCCTACCTTATACTAGTAGGCCTGTTCTGACAATTGAGTGAGATAATCCATGTCAAATAACTTAACAATGCTGACATATGGTAAATGCAGGAAATATTGATTTTGGCTATAGTAACCTTGAAACATCATTTAAGGGAAATTAAATGGGGTCATCTTGGAGCTCAGTATGTGAGAGTTAAGCCACATAGAAATGCATTCAGAAATGTGAGAATTCTTGAAAGTGGGAGCTCTCCATTAGTCTCGCATAAGTAAAATGTTGCTGGGATGTGTTGTGCTAATAAAATAATTCTAAGTGAAGTCATGCTTGAGAATTTTGTCTCCTTTATAAATGATGTCTAAAGGACTTGAGTAGTTTTGTGGCATTGATTCCAAGCAGCATGCTTTCCACATTTGAGCATCTCAGAATTAGGATGTCTACACGCAATAGTGTGTTGTACTTAACAGACTGTGTTTTTTGTTTTTTTTTTCTTAGTAGTACCTAAAAAATACAACTTAAAATTGATGGAATCTGATATTCAATAAAATATGTCCATTTTTTGCTTCATTTTGGGGCTGGGGATGCTTTGGCCTGATTTTTTGTAGTTATTTTATTTCTAGTAATTGGAAACACCAGTATTCTCAAGAGCATCATTCATCAATGTTTAACTGCAAATTTGTTGCCCAACCTCAGATAGTTTTCTATAATCTAAGCCATTTGTGGGGGGAAACCTAAAAATCAATATTTCTGTCAGTGTTTTATATATTAATGTCATAAAACAAAAAAAAATACTATCATATATTACAATTTCTATATGTGTGGGGGGAGCACTTTAACTTATAAACCCAGCTTATTCTTTTGTAATGCTCGACTGATTGGTCATCAAATGCTACTATCATATCAATAATTAATATAACAATATACACACATTTATATATACATGTAACAAATATAATAAGAGAATGTTCCATTTATTTAACTATTTTCATTCATTAAATCTCTTAAAAGGATTCAATTCAGGCTTGTTGATATATTATAAAGTTACAAAGTTCATTAATGAATATAAATGCAGTGCTATTTCTTGCCCTGGATTTTAAAAGTGCATTTTAATTTAATATTATGTTCTTCTAAAATTGATGCATGGCTATCCATCAGTAGAAATTGCCCATCTAATTATGAAGATTGTAAAACTACCTCATCCTCCAAAAGAAAAGGCACCTTTTGCACTAGATGCTGTTATAAAATCTTTTACATGCTTGAAAAGCATATTACTTGAAGTTGTGTATTTTTTACACTTAAAAAAATTGCAAATAATTTTTATTTTTTTAACGTTTTCTTTCTAATTTTTTGTTGTGGTGAAATACAAATAACAAAATTTACTATCTTCACCATTTTAAGTATACATTCAATAGTACTATGTAGGCATCATATGTCTATATAGTGTACATTTTTAAACTTAACATTACATTACAAATATTTCCACATATCATTAGTTATTCAATATCCCTTTATGATTGCACTAGAGGCCCAGTGCACAAATTTGTACGCAGGTGGGGTCCGGTCGGCCGGCCCTGATAGGAGTAAATCTGGCTGGGTAGGCCAGGGGGAGGGGCCCCAGGCTGTGGACCAGCCCCGCCCCCTGGTCGAACTCTGGTGGAACTCCCAGTCAAGGGGACAATTTGCATATTACCCTTTTATTATAGAGGATGATGTTTCCTTTTTTGAACAACTATTCCTTAATTGTTGGGCATTTAGGTTGTTCCAAATTCTTTTCATGTTATGGAATATTAAGCATAACATTGATACAACTGAGGTACTACTAAGAGAGATGAGCATCATAGTGATGTACCAAGTGAATTAGACAGCAAGATCCAAACCAGAGAGTTCCCTAGCTGAAAAAACATAAAGGAATGATGGATATGAGAACTATTGTGTTAAAGCCTTGGTAGGACTTGTAAATGATGGACACGCTTGAGGCCTGGGTCAAGAAACACCTCAAAGCTTAATTTGTGTGATGGGGAAAATTAATGCCATAAACAGAAATCATCGATTTGGAAGAGAGGCTTGTTTGAGGCTAACAGTTAGCATGGCATTTACCATGACAGTGATGGTAGGTCAGCTGAGCTGAAGCTTTGATGGGCTCTAAGGGATTAAAGATTTAAGTACAAGTCATAAATGGATAAAGAATATAATAGTGAACCCATGGAAATAATTAATACATTTGAGGTGACTCAGCACATGTGGAGGAAAATAATTGAAGTTTTCAGGAGTGAACCACATTTTTATGAAAAGTAAAGGACCAAGAATCAGTAAGAGAAAAGTTGAGAGAGAGAGAGAGAGAGAGAGAGAGAGAGAGAGAGAGAGAGAGAGAGAGAGAGAGGAAGAGAGAGAATAAGAATTTGGATAATAGAGTTCTTGAGAAGAGATCATTAAGAATAAACTCCACAATGCTAAGAACCACAGGCATCTATGCTGAAGACAAGCTATTGAGGGTTAATTGTAATCTTAATAAAAGTAATTTTTCCCCACTGGTGATAGGACCCTAAGCCAACATTAGAGACATTTGGGAGCAAGTGGGTGGTAACTACGATTTTGAAAATTTGATGGTGAAAAGAAGAAAAAAATGGGAATGTGCACCTGAGGCCATCTGAGGAGGTGGGCAGGTGGCAGTGGGCGTGGGTGCCCTAACTGTGCCGCTGCCTCAGTAGCTCTCTTCTCCTTCCTAGCTTGTCTGCTTCCACAAAGCCAGCCCTTCACCAGAAAGCTGCCTAAGAAATAGGAAAGAATGCATGCATATAGGCAACTCGCCTCGTTTGCCTAAATAGTATTATTTGAAAAAAAGAAGGAAACCCTCTAATTTTTTACGACCTTCAAAGGGGGATAAAACTTTTTTTTTTTTTTTTTTTTTTTTTCAGGCAACCACTGAGGAAATGGAACCAAACAGCCAGGCAGACGAGAAAGATGGCGAAAACCTAAAAGAAGGAAATACAGAACTTGCCTCATCAGGTTTGTTTCCCAACAGACTAGTTTTAAGGTAAATCGTGGTAACGCTTAGGATCTAACAGTCAAGAAATAGAGCCAAGAATTCCTCCTTAAGGAGCGACTGAAAGGTAGACTCTAAAACTGGCGTGGGGTTGTGCTGCCACCTGAAGGCGTTTTAGGGAAATTCTGACTATGATTCATTTGGCTCTAAAAACCTTGCTTTGCTTTGTTTTCTTGAAAGTGTATCTCTATCCTCATAAATAAGATGATATTGCCCCAAATAAATAATGATAAAAACTGAGGGTCATATTTTAACACAGTAACAGCCATAAATAAGACAGATTAAATATATATGTGTGTGTATATATATATATATATATATAATAAAAATAGACACTGAAATAATAAAGCTGGTGAATAGTTTAAAATAATCGTTTGAAAGAATACAGTAATGCCACAGATGGGAAGGTTTCTTGAATGAATGCTTTTCAGTATTTTCAACACATATCTTATTTTGGTAAACATAAAAGCCTTTCACCCTCTTTCAATTCCAAATTAATTTTAAATGGCATGTTAGGATAAATGAAATTTTCATTACTAAAAATTCCAAACTGGATTATACCCCTCATTCTGATAGGCCCCTCAGTGAGTGACTTTTCCACCCGCCCTAGAGTGTGCCTACTTCTTCCCTATATATCAAAGAGCACTTTGTTTTCATTGCATTGTGTATACGATGCAATCTCAACACATCCCTGTGATGTTAAGAAGGCACACTGGAATACAAAAGGAAGAGTCAGGCTGCCACGTGATATCATAGTTTCTTTTGGATGGAAACTATCTGGAGATGTTGGCCCACCCAGCCCACCTATCAGAATATTTCGTGCCAACGTTTTGTCTTGTGCAGTGTTATTCCTATGTAAACTCTGGCTCTTACTAAGAACTTAAGTTTTTTATGGTGGGATTTTTTTTGTGTTTTTATGCTGCTTGTTTTTTTGTTTGTTTGTTTGTTTGTTTGTTTTTATAATAGCATGAAAGAGCCTAGAGAACGCTGGCATCTTTGGCTCCGTTATACACCTTGTCACACGGTAATGCAACTCCTTTACGTTTCTGACTGTAACTTCCTTTCAGAGCCACAGCATTTTACAACGACTGTGACTCGGTCCGGCCCCACCGTGGCCTCGGTGGAGTTCCCCTCCAGCCCCACGCTGAGGAGCGATGTGCCAGAAGAGAGAGACCAGAAGAAACCGGAAAACGAAATGAGTGGGAAGGTGGAGTTGGTGCTGTCACAAAAGGTGAATTTCGGAGTGGATTAAAGCAGTTACTTTTCAATTAGCATGGCTTTGCAGGGCCGGGGGCTACCACTGTGACACCTGTTCATCATGAAGACTTATTTTCTCTTTTCATCTTTCTTCTGTCTTTAATCTGTATTTTTCTAAATGCAAATATACTCAATGTTCATTGTAAATAATTTAAGTACATACAGAAAGATGGATACATTAGCCCACTTCGGTTGCTGTGAGATGGATGGATGACTTAGAAACAACAGACATTTATTTCTTACAGTTTGGCGGCTGGGAAGTCCAAGATCAAGGCAGATTTGATGTCCGGTGAGAACCCACTTCCTAGTTCACAGATGGACTTCTCATGTGTCCTCATTTGACAGAAGGGAGCGCACTAGGGTCTCATTTATAAAGGGCACAAAACCTACCAAACACCTACCAAAGGCCCTTCATGCTGTTACCTTGAGGGTTAGGATTTCTATAGTATATATTTTTTAAACTTATATTTATAGCTGAAACCAGTTTGACTCAGTGGTAGAGTGTCAATCTGTGGACTGAAAGGTCCCAGGTTCCATTCCGGTCAAGGGCATGTGCCTTGGTTGCGGGCACATCCCCGGTGGGGGGCGTGCAAGAGGCAGCCGATCGATGATTCTCTCTCATCGATGTTTCTGACTCTCTGTCCCTCTCTCTTCCTCTCTGTAAAAACTCAATAAAAATATATTTTAAAAATTATATTTATAGTGATGTACATATAAATATGTAATAAATATTTCAAGTAATATATGTACATTTATTTAAAATGAAATATAAATAAACAGACATAGAGCAAGAGTGAGAAAAAGTCACAGAAACCTACCTCTCTCTAGTAAGAGTTGGTATATATGTATTCTTTCTACATCTATTAAATTTTATTTCAACTATCAATTTTAATTATGAATAATTAGATGTATATTTTAATGTGATATTCATATAAGTTATAAAGCTTTGAAGTTAGCTTTTGGTTTGTTGCGTATGAGCTTGATTATTCTCAGCTCACTAAAGATTATCTGTCCCATAGTTAGCTATTTTATAGCAGCATATTTCTGATACCTCCAGAATTGAACAAGGAAACTGGAAACTTATTATTCTGATATAATGGGTTTTAGCATCTATTTTTAAATTAACTTTCTTCCTTGTTTGGAGTCTCATTCTCTTCATAATAATTTGTTTTTGTTTTGTTTTTTTCAGGCAGTGTCTAAAAGTTTTCATCTTTTATACCAATTATTTTCAACCTTGGCTTTCTTTTAGAACTTAAAAATACACCAAGCACACTCCAGCTCAGATAAATTAGAATTTCACCTGTATTTTTAAAAGCTCCCATGCACTTGTATTTTTAAAAGCTCTCCATGATTTAAATGGGCCACCAAGGTAGAGAACCACTGACTTTTCCTATGGACATTTTACCAGTGGTGATATTGATATTTCAACTTTAAAACTTAACCCTAAATTTGGATTTGACTTTAGATTAAAAATGTTACCACTTATACATCTGGTTCTTCCATCATTTAGTCAACCAATACTGACTGTGTACCTACTATGATCCAGGCTCTGTATTAGACAGTGGCTATTCAACAATGAGGGGATGGGGCCCCTGGCCTTAGGGAGCTGAGAGTTCTGTGTCCTTGGTAGAGTCTCAGAAATGCTTATGGCCTTGATGCGTTTTGGAAATTTCAGACCCTAGCTTTCCCCACTTTTTATACATAGAGAATTAAAGAATTGTCTGTAGGTCTTGAAAGAGGAACAAAACTGGGAAAAATACTGAGGGCAGGCAGGATTTCCTATCTTTGCAGGTTTTGCCTTATCTATGTTAGACTTCATTATTCAGTATTCTTCCAAGTTGACTTTTTGTTTCATTTAAAACTAAACTGAAAGGAAAACTCTACTTCATAGCTAGAATTGTTTTTAATCAAACAGAATGAACACCATAACTAAAGAATGTTCTTCTGCATACCTTGTCTGGGAACCTCACTTGTGAGCCATCTTAGGACCATAAGTGTCACATCTACCTGTGGAAAAATTGTTTTTAGAGTCTTACCTCCGTGTGTGTGTGTGTGTGTGTGTGTGTGTGTGTGTTGTGTTTCATTGTTGTTGTTGTTTGGGTGTTGTTGTTTTTTGTCAATTGGTACCAAGTATATATAGCTCCTAAATTCTGTTCTATGGAGTCCAGTTAAGAATTTCTGTTGGTTGATTAACCAATGGTGTAACAGTTTTTGAACACACTGTTTTTCTTATACCATGTGAATTTCTTCCCTTTCTCCTTTTCCCTCCTGTACAGTTAGCTCTTAGAAAAGGGAGAGAGGTGATCACCGTGACTGCAACAATTTTTACTTCACTTAAGAGTGTTGCCAAGTGCCCATGCACACACACTGATCTTTTTATATGGTGGACATTTTGAGCATTTATGCTGACTGTGAACTGTTTCATTTACAATTGGAGATTAGCTGAAACATGTTTTCATCTGACTTAAAGATGGAGGAGATGGTATTAGGTCAGGATGTGAGGGTTGTCAACTTATTGCATGTTTAATTAATACTTAAGTTCATTTAACTATCTAGTTGACTTCTCTAATGTAGAATGAAGTGATTAACTGTATTTTCTTCAGAATTCCATTAGTGTTGGGTATATTATCTATAAGAGAAAAATAGGTGCCCAGCCAACTTGGCTCAGTGATTGAGTATTGACCTATGAATCAGGAGATCATGGTTAAATTCCCCATGAGGGCACATGCCTGGGTTGCAGGCTTGATCTCCAATAAGTAGTGTACAGGAGGCAGCCAATCAATGATTCTCTCTCGTCATTGATATTTCTCTCTCTCTATTCCTCTTCCTTCCTCTCTCTGAAATCAATAAAAATATATTTAAAGGGAAAAAATAGAATCCTATCAAGAAGAAATTCTAGGCATTAAATTGTCTTGAGGACTAAATCATATAGACCAGCTTATGATGAAATGGTGCTCTCTCTATAACCTCACTTGGCTTATTGACTATCAAATGAATCTGTTGGGAACCCAGCCTCCAGCCAGAGTGAGTCAGAGGAAGTCCTGTACACAGCTAGAAGGACATGAATTGATCCAGCCCTGCTCCTCATTCAGATCTTTGCTCAGAATCTACTGATGGTTATTTTAGACATTAGTTTGGTAATCTGGTCTCTCAGCAATCCATTGATGAGAAACAACAAACTAGAAAGAAGGTGCTTCTAACAAAGGCCAATCAGATTGGGAAGAGACGAGATGAAATTAAATGACAATAACAAAAAATTCTACTTTTACAAAACAAACGTAAAAATTTGTAAATTGGAGACTATTTAATATAGGAGAAGTAATCTAACATGCCTCAAAACCCCCTAAGGGCATCATTGCTATGGAGCTGTTTGATAATGGCTATTTATAATAATGCTTCTATGTCAACAGGCAAAGTATATTATCTTTAATATGCTTTGCATGAATTTGATGGTGGGGTTGAGTAGTATCCGACAATAATGGTGGGGTTGAGTAGTATCCGACAAGTAGTAGCCAAATACTACTCAACCCCACCATCAAATTCATGCAAAGCATATTAAAGATAGTATACTTTCACCATCAAATTAAAAGGTAATATTACATTAGTATTTAGCACTTAACATAGTAAGGGGGTATTTTTTAGTCTTATATGGAACATCTCACATCTCACATTATAAATTTAGCATTATGTAGCATCAGGGAGAGACTGTGAAATTGATCAATAAGAAAATGAGACAGAGTGATGTATAATCCCAAAGATGGAATACTATCTTCTGGGTTTGGGAAATAGTGATCATGAAATTTGTATATGCTCTCATTTGATAACTCTGGAAAATTGACCTCTACATTAAAGTAGAAAAGCACAAAGGGGAATAGAAAAATGGGGCCAATTTTCCATTTAAAAGTTAGATGTTTGGGCTTACTGACTGATGTGATTGCCATGGATTCTTTTGTTTTATTTCTCCTATGTCTTTACTAATAGACAATATTTGTCATGTCTGTGTCTCTTGCCCCTGATCCAGGTGGGAAAGCCAAAGTCTCCAGAACCAGAAGCAACCCTGACATATCCATTTCTGGACAAAATGCCTGAAACCAACCAGTTACATTTGCCAAATTTCAATTCTCAAGGTAAAGACAAGGAAATGCTTTATTTTAGTCCTACATGTTCTTCTGGGCCCATCTGTAGTAAAATATTACTTCATGTGAATGAGGATTACTTCCTTTATGTTGATGTCCCTTTGGCCATAGTGTTAGCAGAGCCCAGTGGCTGGATTACTGATTTCAGAATAGAATTCTGGGGCTGCATTCTCTGTGGCCCAGCCACAGACCCCAGCTGTCAAGACCATCTTGCCAGTCATAGGCATGATAATGCTTATACAAGTGTTTGATGCCTTAAAATAATTTTATTGTCTCCAAAAATGGGGGGGATCAATAACTTTAACAAAAAGTTTATAATCTTAATATTATATCAACCCCACTGATTGTTAATTATGTAGTCTTTATAAAATATCCACTTGACAATAATCTTAGAAGAAAGTCAGACTTTCTTACTTCATAATAATTGCCTGTGTGCACCGAGAAATCATTCCTCATCATAGGTTAAATGTATTAGTCATAAGCAAGACCTTTAATCTCTCCAGAATCTATTATAGTAAGAATAGATGTGTGTGTGTATGTATGTGTGTGTGTGTGTGTGTGTGTGTGTGTGTGTGTGTGTATTAAATACATGTATATGCTGGGGGTATATTTTACTATGTTTCATATGTTTGATATAATGTGTGGAGGGGTGGCCTCTAAAAAGTTAGGCATTTAGGGCCTATGGGAGTTGTAAAAGGCACTGACCACTGCAAACCCCCAAGTACCTTTTGGCCACGTGTAGGTTGTGAATTCACCCTTTACTATTTAAGAGCCCAATTTGAATTCCTTTATCCTGGTGAGACAGCTAGGTGCCTACAGTCACCCCAAAAGGAGCCTTAGTGATGTGAAGAGTAGGGGGGTGTCCTAAGAGAAGTCCATGATCCATAGAGACTATTCTTCAGAACAGACCACTGGGCTTTATTGGTGTGAGTTCTCTATAGATAGGAAAATAGCTAAGCTCCGGAGGCAAGAACTGTAAGGTATCTTGCTTTTCTTTTTGACTGTACTTTCCCCAGCTTATTTTATAGATTGAGAGTCCTGGCAGAGAGAGAGAGAGGATAGTATAGGCACATTGTGGCTGGGGATTTATTTTTACTTTTATTTTTTTACAGGGTGGTCAGCTGTTTGGGGTAGAATCTGAGTTGGCTTCTATGAACCTTTGTTGAGGGCTGAGAGATAAGTTGGGCTCTCTCTACCTAGCAGGAAGTACTTAGGAAGGAATTATTGGAGCATGCACTGATGATCACTAGTTTCTTAATGTGGAAACAAGTTCAATACTGTCTTCAAAACATGTATTTTCAATTTTTCGCTCCTGCAGAAGGGAACTGATGAAAATAGTCTTATAATTAGGCCAGCAATTGGCCATATTTAGACAAATTTAAATTCTGCCCTATTTCTAGCACTTCGTTATTGTGCAGATATAGAAATAACAGTAATATTTGTTTAAAATGTATAAACTCATATCTTTCATGGAGGCCTCTAATAAATGTAATCTTAAAAGCTATGATTTGTCTTTATCTGGAGAGACAAGGAAAGAATAGGTCTTTGCCTGAATATAAAAAGTCAGTGTACCTGTAACTGACTAGTTGGAGGTCGCACCTCAAGTCCAAAGGAGCTATAGGTTTAAGACGGGGAATCCTGGAGCCATACCTAGTACTGGCTTCCCCAGACAGTCTATCTCCCCCATTTCCATAAAGCCCTAAGGTTGTCCCACAGATTTCCCTTAAACATACACATGTGCACAAATAGTCTTAAATTGCTCTGCAACCCTTCATATGATACATTTTAAAGATGACAAGCTTCCTTTTCTCCACTCTCCCAACAGTAGAAAGATACATCAAGTTGGTGTTCAGGAACATATGTGCACGTTAAAGTGCATACTGGCTAGCTGTATGTCTTTTGTGCAAAAAATCCAATAGGTGCATTGAGAATGATGACAAATGGGCACAGCGCTAGCTTCGAGTTGCAGATGAGTTGTGTCTGCGTGGGGCTGTCATATGACACAGACATTTACATGCTCTTGTGACACACATAGCTTCTGCCACAGACTTCCCTGCACAACCTTTATGAAGTGTATACAATCATAACTGAACTCATCTCGGCTGTCTTTTATAGTTTCCTAGTGTTCTCCAAAAGCAATGCCCGCTGTGCATTTTGTTCTTTCATACCATGACATGTTATCATTTTGAGATTCAACATTTTAACAATATCACCTTTACGTATGAGCCCGTCAAATGTCACTTGACACCGAGGAAGACAGGGAATAGCATGAGCTGTCTCATTTCCGTTGACTTTTGTCCATGTCTTCAGGATGTGTGTGGAGTTTTATTGAAATCTTTTATACTTCAGACGCTTTCCCTCTCAGCTCTGGGATAGCCACACCTGGGCCTGGGACTTGGGAGAAGATTCTAGGCAACTCTCACCCCCACATTCTCATGATTTTCTGTTTGTTCATTCTGCCATTTGATCTAGAGTCGCCTGGCACTGCCAGCCTTCCGCTTAGAGTTCAGAACTCTTGGCGACGTTCCCAGTTTTTCTCCCAGTCAGGTAACATGCATACTGGCTAGCTGTATTTTCTTTTGTGCAAACAAATCCATGTTGCGGGCAACCAATAATGTCTGGTATTTTTCTTCATTTCTGACCTCCGGGGGAGAAAATGCTTGTTTCTGGCACACAGTTAGCAAAGAACTAGTTCTTTGATATCAATACCAGTTATACTAAAATTGGGGAGGGAGGGAATTCACAGGATTTTACTTTGATTTTGAAAATCTAAAGAAATAAAAATATTCACCTCTTTATTGACCTTTTCTTTTTAAAAAAGCAAAGATGAGAAGCGTTTACCGGGAACATGGTTCTCTTGTTAACTGTGTCACTCTCTTTATTTCCTGGGTGACATCTGGCCTCTCTCTGTATGAAACATTTCCATGGCAGACAGGGAGGGAACTGTCAATCTGTCAATCAAGCCGGAATGCAAGGTGTATTAAAATCCAGCACTAGTAGGAATAGATTTTGCTTTTTAGCGCTTAGTACTGGGTGCTAATTGATGGCATCAGTCTTATTACACTGCTCCTGACTGCTTTTGGTGATGGGTACCAACCACTCGAGGGGTCTGCTTTATTCTGATCTCCTAATGCTCTTGGCTTACCAAAAAAAAAAAAAAAAATTGGTTTGAAGCTGACATAGGAGCCACACTCCACTGAGAGGATCAATGAGAAATACAGTGGGAAGTACTCACACTGTGATCTTTTTCTTTCTTTCTGTCCAGGGGATTCTCCCAGCAGTGAGAAGTCACCTGCAACTACACCTGTGAGTAACTCCTTCTGAGGAGTGAGATCATGCATTTAGTGTGATGTTCATTATAGAGAATTTGATTCGCTTGCAGGGGATTCCCATTAAAAAATGGGCTTCAAGCGACTGTAAAAGAATAGGTGGAAGTCATCATACACTGCCAGGTGAATTGGGAAGATGTGGGTTATCATTATGCAGAGCTGTGATCTGGAAACAAAAGGGTAAGTGAGTCAGGGAAGTAAAACCTAAGAGAAGCAATTAAAATGCATGTGACAGTAGGAATTAGTATTAAAATATGCACTTTCTGTAGGCATTCAAAGTCTTTTTTTTTTATGAGAATGATCATTCAATATAGTTAAGCTGGCAGTAGGGCCCAGCCTGGACTGTTTCTGCAGGACCCAAGCTGTCTTGGTTCTGCCCCTTGTCGCAATCAGTACCTTGAGTAATAGTAACCACACATTTAGTTTTCCGTTTTTTATTTAAGTGAAATAAAATAAGCCTTTGCTAGTTAAAGTATCAAGACATGTAACACTCACTACCCAGTGTCATGCCGCTCGGTTTTATCTGAACACTCTCTGTGGATCTGGCTCTTCTCTAAACGGGGTGTTTCCAGGGCTGAGCCTGTCACTTTTGCTCACCCTAGAAAGTCCCACCCGTTTGAGAATTCAGCTCCTCAGTGGCTCAGTCAACTAGCACAGAGCCCCTTGGTGCAGCCTGAGAATCACCGCTGTGCATTTGAGTCTTCTCTGAACGTTGCTTTCCCTGACTGTATCCCTGACTCTTCCTTTTCTCCCTAATGCTCCCACCCTCACCTCACTTTTTCTTTCAAGATTCCCAAGCAGTTTTAAGTGTCTCCCCAGAGTACCCCGTCAGTGGAGAGGGAGGAAGTACAGTTATTCGGGAACCTGGTTTGCCTCAGTACCTACTCTGGGCGATGAGGGAGCCAACGTTCAACACTGCCGCCCTCCTTTTGCTGATTCCCCAAGGACCAGCTGGGATTTCCGCCCATGCCCTCACCCGGACCCTCTCAATCTTATACCCTGTGGCCTGGGTGTCCGCTTTGACTCATGCATTTTTCTCCCATTATTTCTGTTCACTGACTTGGTTCCCAAACTCACAAAAAACTTTTTTAAAAGACAAAAAACGAACAAACAAAAAAAGAGTCTTTGGGTTGGACTGTTTGCTATGTGGGTTCCAAGGCAGAGGCTCCCCATGGCCTGGTCTCAGGTGCCGCTGGTGAGCAGTGGTGAGCGGTTAGAGGAGGCCGGGGTGGGCAGCAGCCACAGCATAAGAAATGACGGAGTCCTACAGTCGCTCCCCACAAAACGCAGCTCTGCTGAGATCAGCGGGCCCCTTGGCCTGAACCCAGGATCAATATGCAGAACGAGCATCTTACGCTCCCGCGCGCGTGAATTCATTTAAGAAATCGCTTCTAAAAGAAATGAAGCAAAAGCCTGCCCGTGCCAGGGGCTAATTACTTCGTGTTTTCATTAGCTCCTAAAAGGTTCACAGAAGCCTATCGGCCTCTTGGAAGGGAGCCAGAGAGGGACTAAGATTAAAGAGCGGTGCTGCCGGCTCAGAGGACCGTTAGATAACGGAGGCTCTGCTTCTGTGTGTCCATCGGGTGCCAGCCCACCGGCTACTCGTGGCCCTCGCGCTGGCCGGGCCTGGAGGACGTGGCTCAATTCTGATCATGTTTTTATTCTCTAAGCAGTTCAAGTTCTGGGCCTGGGACCCGGAAGAGGAGCGCAGGCGACAGGAGAAATGGCAGCAGGAGCAGGAGCGTCTGCTCCAGGTAAGGCCACTGGGTTCGCTGCTTTTTTTTTTTTCTTTTTTCTTTTTTTTCTGATGCTCTTAATTTCTGTCGTATTAAATAGATGTTTAGCACAGGAAAACGTGGAATTGAATTCTTCTCAGAAGCCAGTGAGTCTGTTAGTCCATTTTGCAGACATAATGCCCTGTGTTTAATTCCTCATACCAGAGGTTATACGGATGAACACAAAGAAAAAGCATTTCACTTAAAAAAAAATTTTTTTTGAACTTCCACGTATTGATTAACGCCAACTCAGGCAGTCCTCTCCTCCTTTGTTGTCAATAAAATTCCAATCCCAGTAGCAGTGGAAATGAATTGTCAAAAGCTTTTTGTAGTTGTTAATCCTCACCTGAGGATATTTTTCCATTGATTTTCAGAGAGAGTGGAAGGGAGGGGGAGAGACAGAGAGGGAGAAACATCAGTGTGAGAGAGAGACATTGATTGCCTCCTGCATGTGCCCCAACCGGGGCCAACAATGGAGGTACATGCCTTGATCAGAATCGAGCTGGGGCCCTTCAGTCCACAGGCCAATGCTCTACCCACTGAGCCAAACCTGCTAGGGCTGTTAAAAGCATTTCAAAAGCATCCATGTGAAATAAAATTTAGCCTGGCTCTTGTTTCTTAAGTAGAAATATTTGCTCCATCTTCCAGTAAAAGCTGCTAACTCTCACTTCTCATGCCACGTTTGTGGAGTAACAGGCTTCAGAAAGGATGCTAGTAGCCTGAGGCAGTGCCTCTGCGGAGTACTTGAGCTGTGCCAGGAGCTGTGGTTGGTGTCTGACATCGTTTATCTAATTTAGTTCTCATAAAACTCTTCAGAGTAGATCTCATCAGCCCCCACTTGCAACTGAAGAAACTAAGACTCAAAGAAGTTAAATGAATTCCACGAGTTCACACAACTAATAAGGCTTGAACTTGGTTTCCATTCCAAGCCTGGATGACTTGAAAACTCATGTTCTTTCCCCAATAGTACTGATTTTACCTCCAAAATATCTAAATAAAAATTTTAAATCTCATTAATTTTTATGACTCTCTGCTGCTGTGTAGAAAGCAATACTTAATGCAACTTTATTTTACTTCTTTAAAAAATATTTTTGCTCTGATCCCTTTGGCTTACTTCCCAGCGGGCAGGAGCAGGATCCGTTTAGACAGCTAACTGTAGTTAAATTTTATCCTTTTCAACATTGCATAGAGATAAATCTTCAATATCAAAATGTTAGTAAGAACTGGATTCAGCAAAGTCACATTGGGACCTTTGGGTCCTTTGGAAGAGAGAGGCCAGCCCAGCCCCAGCCTCCTGCTGTTCTCTCGGAAATAGGGGCCCATTTTCCAGCTGAGAGCTGCACAGCCCAGAGCCAGAGATTCCACAGAGAGCAGAAGGCAGGCGAGTGCGCTCACCACGTGGCGCCCTGTCTGTTACACTCTGGACGGGGACCATGGTTCCAGGCGTCTGTCTCCTTCCTGCCCCACCGCATTGCTACCCAGTGTGGTGCATGGTGGGCTGTGGGCTTCGGGGAAAGTGTTTGTGGGGAGGTAGGGGGAGGGAAGATATATGTCTTTCATGCCCCACATTACAGAAATCAGTGCATCCTCCTGGGGAGGGGAGCGCGTGTTGTGAGCTTCTAGAACCAATGAACCTCAAATGCTTCACTTGTCTTTCAGCTTTTGTGCAGTTTTGAGGTCTGTTTTCTCTATTTGAAAAGCCCCCGAAGTTCCTGTCTAAAACTTTACAATGCTAGGTTTTACAATGTTAGGTGTTTGTAACATGTTTACCTGGAAAGAAAAGCCCGCCAGGGGCTGGCCAACCATGGCTTGGCCAGAGCATTCACATGAACACCAGGCTCTCGCAATCCCAATACAGCCCCTCCGCTCCTAAGACAACGACAGGTAAGACCTGGAGGAGATCCCAGCGCCTCCCCAGGAGGACAGGAGCCCAGGCCCGTTTGAGCCTCAGAGAGAGAGGTTTGGCAATAATTAGCCTAAAGCATTTGACTGTTATGTCATACACGTGGCTGATTCCTTTGTCTCCGTCGTCACGTCGTCAGGGTGTCATTCCCAAGCTTCCAGGGGTGTCAGTTCTCATGTTAGGCATCGATTTTCATCGCCATTTATTCGTTTCTTCCAGTCAGCGGTCAGGAACTCTGGTCACATTTTCAAAGCTGTTCTTATTCAGAGAAGGTTATTCTTTTCCCCCAGCAGTGGTGACCAGTGTTGTATTATTTCTGGAAATAAGAAATGGCAGTTCTGATCCTGAAGCCTTCTAGTGGGCTGTTAAAAGCTACTCTTAATTCAGAAGTTACTTAAAGCTAGGGACATTGCATTTGGGTCCAATGGCTTCAAGCAAAGAGTAATTTGGCTACCCAACTAATTACCATCTATCCACTTTGGACCTTTCTGCAGGGTTCGTTTTTTGTTGTTGTTGTTGTTTTTTTCTTTTTTTTATCCTTTATTAAACTCTCCCAGCAGCAAACATATTTCTATTAGCAGAATGGCAAAACTAGTGGTTTAGCTAACCTCCTAGGACAAAACTCAAGTGAAGGAAGAGTTTAGAATCTTCCAATCTTTTCATCTTTTCTCTTTTCGTAAGCAAGTGCCTACTCGTCTATCTGAAATCCAGTTCTACAAAACATCAGCAGAAAATACACAATGGGGCAAAAGTAGATTTACAGTCGTGAGAAAATGAAACAATTTTAAATTTGCATTATTATTTATTAATTACAAAATAGTTTTAAACTTGCATTATTATTTATTAATTTTCCATACGGACAACTGTCAACCGACTTTTGCCCCCACCCTGTGCTGCTCTCCTTGGGGTTTAGATTCCTAACATGTTTGAGTGCCACACAATGCTCTTCCCCTTGTGTTGCATGATCGGGTTAGGTTCAGAATGTTACAAGAAGATGCTCTCTCTACATGTTGGCTTTGAGGGGGGATGTCCCAATGATGCATGCAACGGTCGGTTCAGAACAGTCTCTGGAAATTCTGTGACAGGAGAGATACCAGAAAGAGCAGGACAAGCTGAAAGAAGAGTGGGAAAAGGCCCAAAAGGAGGTGGAAGAGGAAGAGCGCAGATACTATGAGGAGGTAGGAAATTCCCCAGAAGGAACTGGACCTCGCGGTCTTAGTTTCTCAAAGGCTATCAATGTTTTTATGTCTGTGGTTTGTGTGTACATGTAGGTGGCTGCGGCTGATTACCTTCACCCATAGCAGAGCCCATCAACCTCTTTAAGAAAGTCATACCCTGTAGGCACTAAAAGACCACAATTCCTCCGAATTCAGTTTGTGATCGGGTGTGCTGTCACGGTCAAGGGTGACAATATAGTTATATCTGATCTCTAGTCAGAGAGTCAGATTCTTGGTTTATCTCAGAGAGAGGGCATTGATATCAATTTCTTTATTAGTCTGTTTGAGCAAGCATGTTTGGTGGTGAGTTAATTTTATGAAGTTAATTTTGATATCAAGGCCAAATGAGTCTTACCACTGCACTCACTCTATGGTACTGACGAGATTTAGTACCCTAGGCTGAGTGCAGTGCTAGGGAATTGGGGGGAGGAATATTTGGTTTTGTAGGTTTCATATTTTTTAGATGAACAAACCAGACCACATTAGATCATTTAAAGGGAGCTACATTTTATCTATATTATCTAAAATTTGTTTATGATTAATAATATAGTGAATTTTATCTTCAATAACAATTTTTGCACATAATCAAATCCCTACAGCATTTCTAATAAGGCTTCTTGAATCTCACTAATTTGTGAAGACTTTGTTTTTCTATTAAATCAAATGCTAATTTCTAAATCATTGCCCATAGAGAGTATTATCTGATTTATGTGCTTTTAGAAAATAAGACCTTTTTTTTTAATGCCCTGCTTGTTTGCATATAATTCTGATGTCTTTTTTCTAAAGTTCCTTAATGAAATTTTTCTCTTGGCAAATATGATACTTGATTTTCTCCCCCTTTCATTAAGTCCCATTCTTCCTCTTAGGAGCGCAAAATAATTGAAGACACTGTGGTTCCATTTACTATTTCTTCAAGTTCTGCAGACCAGCTGTCCACATCCTCCTCTGTGACTGAAGGCAGTGGAGCAGTGGTGAGACTATAGATTAAAAGCAGTTTGTGAAATAAGTAAACCCAAAAGAAGTATAAAGCCATGCAGCCAAGTTTTCCATGAGTTTAAACCCAGGCATGGCTATTTCCCTAGGTTCATGTCAGCTACTCCATGGCCCTCCTACACGATGGTATTGTCATTCCATGGCCAAATCCTAGAGCCATTGCCTGAGGAACAGTACAGTCATTGCTGAGGCCAGATCTGCCTCACAGGCTGGCTATCAACGTCTCTCTGCACTGGCTGATTAGGTCCTAATTCACGGGCCATGTGCTGGGAAACTTCTTTCTGCCCATCATTCATTCATTCAATAGGCATGCATTCCTTTCTGCCACAACACACGTCCCCTTGCACTGGTGCCAGCAGCAGGTTCTCCACCAGCCTCCATCAGAGTTGCTTCTAACCCACTCTTAAAATTCCACATGGACTTTACATGTATCTTCAAGGGCTGGAGAGAGCCCAGAACAGCTGGTCTACCTCCATATCCCCCAAACAAGGTCATGGAGGTCAGTGGTGGACAGAAGTCATACCAGACCTGGATAGTCTATAATCTGCAATAAAGAAAATAATGGTGGGCACTAGGGAGCCATTTGTCCTGAAATGAGCAGTTCTGTGACTGTTTGATGTGGAAACAGTGGGTTTTCTAAACTATTCCACTCTATGATAACTTCTGAAAAAGATCCAGGTTGCACGTTTATTTCAAATCGTATAGCTCACTGACTATTCAATTAGTGTGAACAACTGTTCCTTAACGTGCAGACAATGTGATTGGAGGGAGGGGAGGAAGCTTCAACTATCCCATGGCCAGAGATGAGTGTTGTCCAGTGGGTTTAATTTCTATTTAAGATTATCCTTCTTTTCCGTTAGAGTAAGATGGATCTGGAAAACTGTCATGAAGAAGAGCAAGAGACAAGACAGAAGACACCATTCCCGGGGGGCAACAATGGCTTGTTGCTGGAGCCTAGAGAAAGCGGTCCCCCAGAGGAAAAGGGCAGGTATGCCTGCCCCACGGTTCAGGCTGTCGGTCTAAATGTGAAAAACCAGACTCCGCCCGCTCTCTCCCAGGAAGAGTGCTCATTGCTGATGCAAATCATATTCGCCTTTGAAACGATCATTCCAGTAATACATTACATATTGCTTGAACACATTCTAATGACGCTGAAGTCAGTGTCCTTATGCAATTGAATACAAATAGCCTGATTTTAAATAGGGGAAGCCTTTCTCAAATGAGAGGAGACAGTATAGATCAGAGAAGGAGCATGTGGTCCATGCAAAGCCCTAAACCTAAACATTTGCTCACCTGAGATAGTTGATGTGTCTGGAGGAATGGAGGTTGAAGACATGTGCTGGGGTCCCACCCACTGTGGTTTTACTGTGGACCTGAACTCTGCTGTCAGTATCCTCTGAGCTGTGAGAAGCCACGTTTACTCTGTGTGATAAAATAAAGAACAAGTAACAAATTGATTGGGTGTGGGTAACCTCCTCCCCCCCGCCCCACCACCCCCAACACACACACACACACACACACACACACACACACACACACACACACACACACTCATGGGTTCTAGTCTATCCCATGGGAGCAGAATCTGATTGTAGCTTTGGGCAATGGTGAGTTTGTTGCTTCCGCCCCACACCTAACCTAGAAGGGACCCACAGGAACGCAGGAGGCTCTGCCATGAGCAAGTTCTTTATGAGACAGATGTTTGCCTCTGCAGCTCTGAGATACTAGGTAGATATTAATGAGTGCGCATGCTGGACCAGGTTGCACGTATACACACGCCATCCTCAGAGGAACGGCTATGGAAGGGTTATTTTCAGAGACTGGTCAATTTGGGATTGGAATCAGCAGGTATCAAAGCTACCACCAGTGAATGCTTTAGAAGGTTTTCATTGGCTTTCTGGTGGGATTTGCTCTGAGAATCCTCCTATGCCCATCAGTGAGAAGACTGGGTGAGGTGTAGGGTATAGGGGCTCGGGGCCCATGTCCAGAGTCTGCAGAGCCCTTGGAATAGCACATCTGCTTCCAATTAACGCTGTTTGAAGGGACTTTCCAGTTTTATGAAATGAAAGCCACCCATCAGGAATTTTTGAGCACCACTGATAAGCGTTTTATGTGAATTTTTTATAGTTCTCCAAACAGTCTCTGTTGTTGCCAGGGACCCTTTAAAATCTCTTCAACCTCTCCTTTCTTTATAAAAAGATGCTATTAAAAAGGCTATGTTGATAACCATGAGAAATGGTTTCTCAAGCTTGTTAAATTGATAGATAATAAAAATGAGTAACAATTCAGAGCATTTAAACCTAGTTTAAAATAAAAAGAATAAATTCACATTTAGTTAGCCTTCATTTGTGGGTTTTTGTGTTTTGTTTTTTATTATTGAAATTGTACTTCCATACCCTAAAGGATATGATTAATAATTTTAGTTTAGTTGCTTTTATCTCTGTTCTGAAATATACTTACTTATTTTAACAGACTTATTCAAGGGGCCTTGGCTGATTCTGAGAACCCTGGGTCAAAAGGAACCCATCCAAATGACCAGCTGGATACAGGAGCTGGGGCCCCACACTGTGGGGTGAACGCACAGCTAACTCAGGGTAAGGAAGGAGAAGACCCACCGATGTTTAAATTATTGTACCACAGCCCCGCTTGTCATCTGGACAGAGAGGATTTCCATTGGCTACACGCTTCTCTTCTAGCTTATGCTCTATAGCACCCTGAAGAAACTCCCACCACCAAGTGCCAGACTCTCCATGGACTCACCTTGAGACCTCAGCAGGCATTAGCACTTTAAAGAAAGGTGGCTTAGCCCTAACCGGTTTGGCTCAGTGGATAGAGCATTGACCTGCAGACTCAAGGGTCCCAGGTTCAATTCCTGTGAAGGGCATGTACATTGGTAGGGAATGTGCAGGAGGTAGTGTGCAGGGGCAGCTGATGGATGTTTCTCTCTCATTGATGTTTCTAACTCTTTATCCCTCTCCCTTTCTCTCTGTAAAAAGATTAATAAAATATATATTTTTAAAAAAAGAAAAGAAAGGTGGCTTACTAAGCAAAGGTGATGTTACTGAGCTCTAAGTTTATGTTCTTGATTGGCCCCAGGTCCATCCCAGAATCAGCAGGTGCCAAACCTGCCAATGAACACGTTAGAAGATGTGAAGCCAAAAACCCTCCCATTGGATAACAGCATTAACCATCAGCTTGAGTCCCCGAGTGAAAGGCGGAAGTGAGTAACCAATGATAGACGTGGAATTCTTTTTTCTTTTTAACGTATTGACTAAGAAAGGGGAAAACGAAAAAGCGTGTGATAGCAAGGTGTTAGCAGCATTTTCATGCTTTCTCTCTCTTGAATCTCATTGACAAGGTAACAAACATTTATGGAAATTTAGGACAGCCTCCCAGGCAAGGAATGATACACTCTGAGTTTATCCATTTGAAAGAAGCCGAGTAATGCCTTTAACCCACAAATCTAAACAATGAGAAGAATTCGCAGGCATGTTGTGTTAACAATTTCTTTATGAGTTAAATTGTCTCAAAATTTACTGACAAATATTCTTTTAAGGGAAAAAAATGTTTTCTCACATTATCATTCTCTCCCTTTTAGGTAGCAACCTTAGGCTATATTTTAATTTTGTAAGATTTATATTTTTTATAATAATAGTTTCTAATATTTTTTATGCATTTCAATATAACAGGCTCTGTGTTGAAGGCTTTACCTAGTTTTTCGCTTCTTTTCATAAATCAACTCACTGAGCTCTCCCAATAACTTCAATTGAGTTATTATTACCATTTTTCAGAGGAGGAAATAGAGGCTCAATGAAATTAAATAATTTATTCAAAGTACTTGACGGGTTAAATGGTGGAGGAATTCAAAATTATACCACAGTTCAATGTAAGATCATATGTGAACCAGAGGTTCTTTGTAATCAGCTTTTTAAACACAGCATTCATTATACTTCAGCGAGTCTCTGTACCTGGAGCCAGGCCACCTGGATTCAGCTTTTGACTCTGCCACGTGCCTGTGTAGGGCTTTGAGCAAGTTGATTAATCTTCCTCTGCTTCTGTTCTTCACGTATAAAATGGCAATAATAATACTATCTACCTGCGAGGCTTTATACCTGACGAATAATAAGTACTATGTAGTATAGCTGGTGGTAGACAATGACAACAATGGCGATGAGGATGAGGATGACTTGTTTTATACGTTCAACTTGTTACCTTATTTTTTTGTTACATTTTTTAAAACGGTGTTTCAACCATTCCCCCTTTTTCTCTTATGTCTACCCAATTTTGTTTCTATGTGCTTAGATGACACTCGGAATAAATAAACACTGAAATCACACAGAAGTAATCATGATTGTTATTGATTATTGCAGTGATTTCCGACCATTTTTTAGGCCCTGGTATCCTCTAGGGCAGTGGTTCTCAACCTTTCTAATGCCTCGACCCTTTCATACAGCTCCTCATGTTGTGGTGACCCCCAACCATAAAATCATTTTCGTTGCTACTTCATAACTGTTGAGAACTGCTGCTCTAGAGTATTACCTGAAGAGGTGACATTTGGGAGGAAACAAGCTCTGCCTGAGGAGGAGGTGTGGGTGAGCAGTGGGCTCGGGGAGTCATTCCAAAACCAGTTAGAAGACAGATGGACTCGTGCTCTGTTCACTCCTGTGATGGCATTTCTCTTGTCCTCGTTATTTTTTTCTGTGTTCTGTCCCTTTCTTTACAAATGCAATGAACTTTTATAAGCAAGAGCCCAGAACTGACAGCTAGTCACAGGCAGAGCTGTGCAACCAGCCACACCATTCTGGCTGGGGACCACTGTGCTCTGTAGATGCCTATGACATAGCCATTATTAAATGTTGTGAGCACTGCCCCTCGTCACATGTCCTCAAAATGAATGTATTGATGGGGGGTGAGAGCTATCCCACTGGAAAATACCTCCTTGACGTTCTGCCCTTTATTTCTGGGCTCTCTGCACAAACTTTTCCCTACATTCCTACTCACCTTGCCCCTTCCCCCCAATCTATGATTTTTATACCTAACTCAGCGTGCAATTTTAACTAAGCAAAGAACCTGGCAAAAATAAAGATGAAACACTATTCTGGCTTTTCCATTCAAGAGCACCAGCCTGCTCTGAACTATACAGCTATTGCATGTCTCATCTTTGCCAGACGGATTCACTAGTTTTGTTCTTTAGAAATAATGACCTCAGGACACTCTGTGGTCTTTCTTTGGTTATCAGGGAAGTATTTTATTTCCTTACTAAAATGTCTTCTCTTGTAGGGTTGGGCTTCTCTCTCCTTGTCATAACGTTTGGCTCCTTTACCACGTTACAGGAAAAGCCCTCGAGAGAACTTCCAGGCGGGGCACCTGTCCCCCTGTCCTCCCACCCCTCCTGGCCAGTCGCCAAACCGGTACAAGAGGTCAGCAAGCCTTTCGGAGGCGGCTTTGTTTGGACTAGAGCCTGCCAAGCATAATTTGAACCGAATTAATGCTTGCCAAATGATTTTGAGAAGTTTGTCCATCAAATCTCTTTCAACACACACACACACACACACACACACACACACACACACACGCAGGAGGAGAGAGAAAGCCAAGGGCCTGACGCTGGCACGGCTGTGGCCAGGGGCCTTTAATTATATTCTGTGGAAATTGCAATCTAATAATAAAATCCACCAGACAGTTGCCGGGCTCCTCAGCCGGCGCCTTCCCCTCCAAGATGGCTCGGTCCTTCTAGGCTGATGGCTCTTACAGAGAACCAGGCGGGGCCGAGCCGCGAAACTGCATCCTTCCTTCCCCTACTCAGACTCTCTAAGGATGGACGTTAATTGGGCTCCATGATATCCTTAAAAGCTGCCGAGTTCCCATTCACTGGGGAGACCAATTATTGAGGAGTACTCCAAGGTTTCTTGGATTTAGACATTTCATTTAACTACTGGGTAGAGGGAAATCCTAATAAATAGGGTTTGCTTAAGGCAACTCTTCCTCTTTTCTGTTTTCTCCTTTTCTGTTTCTGCTGTCCCTCTATACCCTGTTGGCTTCTGAACGGCGTTGCACATTTTCAAACTTCCTGTGTAATTCCAAGCACTTTCCAGAGGATAGGCACTGTTGCCAGCTGATCTTAGCTGTGGGCAGGCCGCCCCAGAAGGCAGCCAGCTTGTCCCTCGCCTGGTATTGGTCTGCTGGGTTTGATTCTTATCCACTGGCAGGCACTGTGCTGGCTACTGGGCTACTAGGGGGTACAGAGATGGGGTCCAGGCAGCCCATGCCCTTAGGGGCTTACAATGCCGAGAGGATGTCAAGTGTCCAGCTTACAGTGGCGGAGTTTACACACTGGAAGGAACAATAGAGATCATCTAGTGCAGTGGTCGGCAAACTCATTAGTCAACAGAGCCAAATATCAACAGTACAATAATTGAAATTTCTTTTGAGAGCCGAAAACCGACTTCTGCGCATGGGCCACGAAGTTTCAATCGCACTGTACATGAGCGCCCGCACGTGGTGTTTTGTGGTAGAGCCACCCTCAAGAGGCCAAAAGCCACATGTGGCTCAAGAGCCGCAGTTTTCTGACCACTGAACTAGTCAAACCCTCTCATTTTGAAGGTGAAAGAGAAACCCAAAGTGAGTTCTTTACACCAGATCCCAGAACCTAGGGACAAAGCAGGGATCTGATCCCCTATTGGCCTGTGGCCTGTATCAAAATTGCCTCTCTATTTTTATAAAAAAAAAAAAAAAAAAAAAAAAAAAAAAAAAGATTTCTTAATAGGTAAAAGAGACACCCTCATGGGCCAATGAATCAATTATAGAAAATGTTAAAGCAACATTGAAATCTTAGTAAAGCTAAGTTTGATGATGATCTTTTAGGGCTTCTATAAACCCGTGATGGATACATGGAATCATTTCAAGGCATTTGATCATTGTGGCTGAATAAACAACACACACTTCTTGCATCCAATAACTAAAACACACGCGTACGCATGCATGTATACATGCCCTCCAGGTACTCTGCCACAACGGAGGCCCATTGTGTGTAGTCTTGCACTTGTTTGCCAATTATATCTAATGCTCCATTGCTGCGCGTTATCAGTTCAGTAATGGTCATTTCACTCACGAGATAAACATTGTTTTAAATCCGTGTTTTCTTTTTCTTTTGCATGAGGCTACATGTTTGTGTATTTCACCAGCTATTCTAAATGGGAGGTTTCATTGTTACACATGGTTTTGACCTAGGTCTATAAGTGGAAAGAAGCTTTGCTCATCCTGTGGCCTTCCGTTGGGGAAAGGAGCTGCGATGATCATTGAGACCCTCAATCTCTATTTTCACATCCAGTGCTTCAGGGTATGTATCCATCCCTCTCCTCTCTGAGTACATGGTGTCCTTTGGCGTCGCTCTGGGCTGAGGCATACATGCCTCTGGAAACCCTGGTGGCCTTTCCTCCTGGGTGTACAGGGTGTGCATGGAATCCAGCCTTCCAGAGGAAGCTCTCAGCTCTCATGCGTCCCTCTGGGATGTCAGCTTAGAAGTAGCAGCACAGGTTTGTGCAGTGTGTCTCTGTGAAATGGGTCTTGTTGCTGAAGAGCATCTATCTGGCAGGAAGCTGAGAATGCTATCCTGGGAGGGCCGTGATACTTCCACACCTTTTAGGGCATGTGAATTTATTGTGAGGTAATATCCTGGCAGCTTCTCAAACTCTTGTGACTGAATGTTGAAAATTTTTCTGTCAGTTCAGTGTGGTTAGAGCTAGTGGCAACGTTGAGTATGTCTGTGATTCCAAACTAAATAGCACTTCCTCTGAGAAGTTGCGCTGCTCCCCCAGACTAAGTCCCTCGCCTTTGTTACAGGGCCTTCCAGAGTCTTTCATGGTCCGTACCACTCACTATTGCCTTATTTATTTATCATGTCCTTTAATAAACGATCAACTCCATAAAAGCAGGAGCCATGTCTGCCTGGCTCACCACTATTTCTTCTGCACCTAGCAGACACGGTGTCTGTCAACATTTTTAGATGAATGAATTAATGAGTATACTGAAAATGAGGAGGCTTACATTCTAATCCCAGATTTCCTGCTCAGTACATGATTTAACCACTTATAACTAATTTATTATAAAATTTATAAGTTAGCCTCTTTCAGTATTTCCCATCTTTTTTTCCTTCTTTTTTTTCTTTTTTTTCCCCTCATAGACATCTTTCAAATGAATATATAATTTTTGAAACTAAACCTTCTTCCTCTGATAAGAGTCATTTCTTTCTCTTTATAATCCTGATGTGCTTTCTTTGTCCTTCTTGAATTTTGTTCTATGTCTTGTTGGAAGATTCCTCAGCTACAAAGTACACTTGCATGGAGTTAAAAGAACTCCCACTTTCCTGAGAAGCTAAGGGGAAGTAAGTGAAGTTGTCCCAGAATTTAATAGCATCAATACTCACTGGGAAGCAAATCTTGTCTTGGACAAAACACAATATGGAGAGTTAATGAGACTCAATTTATCAATATTCTCATTGGGAAATTAACCAAGATAATGCATGTCTTAAATGGTCTTGGAGTATTTTGAGGTTCAAGGCATTTACATTTTAAAATCTCATGGTAATGCCAAGATAATATGTTCCAACACCAGAGTTTGTTCTCTGAAACTTTACCAGAACTCAAAAGAAAGAGGAGGCAAAGAATTCTGCAAGTTCTCAAGAAACAAGAGACTCCCTTTGTAAGCTGTCTAGGCCTTTATTCTCTCTCATCTTTCACTTCCTGGTCTGACCTGCTGCTTTAAGATACATACCTATGCCATGTAGATGCAACTTGTAACATAATTTGGTTGCAGCCTCCCTCTGTCCCCAATGACCTTAGAACATGAGTCTGAGGCTGGCCCTCTACTCCTGAGCTCAGTCCTGATCTCCTGGCGAGAAGCTGGCATCAGAACCAACCCCTGCTGCCACTCCTGCCACTCCTCTGGTGCACCCAGCACCCTCAAGCTGACTTAGCTGAAGGAAGTGCCATTCTCAGTGGATTTGTTATCTGGGTGTCACTGCCTTTTAGGTGGAAAGATAAGGTAAATAGCTGTTTCCAAGGAATTCTGACCTGGCAGGACTTACCAACACTGCTGGAAAGCATTTAATCATTATTTACAGACAAGTTTTCATTCATAATCTGCCAACCATGTGTTTCTTTAAAATCACTAGCATGTAATCTGTTTAAAATGGTTCATAGGTCAAATATATGGTGACAGAAGAAGGTTTGACTTTGGCTGGTAAACACACAAAAGGATGTATTATAGAATTTTACTCTTGAAACCTATATAAATTGATTAACTAATGTCACCCCAATAACTTTAATTTAAAAAAAGAATAAAATGGTTCTTCTATCATGATTGAGAAAAGGCATGTGATAGAGGTTAACAGCATAGGTTTTGGGATTAACCCAACACCACTTAGTGGGTTTACAACTTTGGACAAATCAGCTAACTTCTCTGAACCATCATCCTCTGTAAAATGCAAGGAGTTGCCATAAAATGCTAAAAGTATATTATTGTTGTCAGTTCTTTTGTAAAAAAAAAAAAAAATATATATATATATATATATATATATATATATATATATATATATATATTGATTTCAGAGAGGAAGGGAGAGGGAGAGAGAGATAGAAACATCAATGATGAGAGAGAATCATTGACTGGCTGCCTCCTGCAGGCCCCCTACTGGGGATCAAGCCCACAACCCGGGCATGTGCCCTTGATCTGAATCGAACCCAGGACCTTTCAGTCCCCAGGCTGGTGCTCTATCCACTGAGCCTAACCAACTAAGGCAGTAAGTCAGTTCTTAGTGCAGCATCTGACACATAGTAGATGCTCAACAAATGTGGTGGTTGTAAAAGTGATTATTGCGCTATTCGTGTAAACAATAACTAAGCATCATAAAAGAAATTCCTTATGCAGCTTATTCCTTCTGCTCTTTCTCCCCTGCAGTGTGGAATTTGTAAAGGACAGCTTGGAGATGCAATGAGTGGGACGGATGTTAGGATTCGAAATGGTCTTCTAAACTGTAATGATTGCTACATGCGATCCAGAAGTAAGTACTGGGGTGAAATACCTTGAGATGAATGAGTGCAATAGTATGCCTTTCCAGGACCCATTGGAGGAATTCAATTATTTCTGCCCATCAGTTGACACTCCTACTGGGGGAAAGATTTGTTAACATGTAGATAAAGGACAAAATAATGAAGTAACCCCTTAATGACCACTTGTTTCTTATTAGAAGTTACTGCTTGGGTGTGGCCAAATTCTTTTCATCCTGAAGTGCGTTAATACACCAGCAGATAAAAACTGTGGGCCAAGTTTGAGGCATTGCCTGAGCTCACCATAGAGACTTTGGTGAGGTAGAAGGCAGATAGAAGGTCTGTAAAACACTGCTTGCCGAGGCATATCTTTAGAAAACCAGCACCATTGGGGGGGAGAGGCTGAAGTGAGAAGAATGGCTCTCCATTGTTCATCAAATCAAGCACCAGCTCCTCCATAGCTGCATGTCCTACTTTCAGGAGCTTCATGACACAATATGTTGTTGGTCTGAACTAAATTTAAAGTTCCTAAAAGGCCAAATGATGGGTTCTGCTCCCTGTGAAACCCTGCCCTCGTCCAAGATACCTGAGTGCATAGTCAGAGCTTAACAAGTGCGTGCTGTCTCGAAGCTCCCTAGAGCAGCCTGCCCTGGGATCCTGGATCTGGGTTTCCTACCATAGAAGGGTCATGTTGGCTTGTGGGGCACCAGGGGGCGCTGTTGCCCAGCTGCTATTTAGAAAATCTGAAAATAGCCATGGCTAAATCTCTGAATCCAGCCTCACTCACCGCTCCATCATAAATCTATAGTCTCCTGGTGCCTGGCCTATAGGGCCTTCTGGTGCCTGGCCTAGACAACAGGAGACTCTTCTCTGAGAATTCATTGGTCAGAAACTCTTTCTTTAAAAAAGAGGGGGTGGAGGAATGAAGAGATGGTGTTTGAAATACAAGAATGTTTTGTTATTTCTCCAAGTAAAGGAAGTGACATTTTTATAGCTTTTTTAATATGAATCTCTAAATCTACAAGACTAAATACTTTAAGAATAAAAATTGAAATTAAATTCTTTTATAGCTGTAGGTTTAGTATAAACTGAGGAATAGCTGCATTTTTTAGTAAAATTATGTGAAATAAAATTTAATCAAATCCAGGTGGTTTTTATCTATCATAAACATTTGACTTCAGGCCAGAACAGTTCCAACTTAGAGCTGAGCTGGTACCATCAAACTGGCCTATTTATATTACATATTATATTTTTATATTATATGCATATATATCTTATATATTTATACCAGATATTATATATAATATACACATGCAACATCTATGTTATGTATTATATGTTAATACCATGTACATAGAGCATATATAAATATATCATGTATAATATATGTACATATGGTATAAACATATAATATTGATATTGATACTAAATATTAAACATGTAAATATGGTATTAATAGTATTATATATATATATTCCATGCACACACAAATACCTATATACATGTGTAATGTATAATATATTTTTAACTGACTTTTTTGTCTTTATACATTAGAAATGAAAACTAAGCCTTTTCTTTCCCATTTTCAAGGTGATTCTTTCTATCTTCTATAAATTATACTTTTTCTCAGCCAACTGAGTGTGAATCATGGAACCAGAAGAGGGCACTGTTAGGTTGCAGGACTATTGGGCCAAATTTGGAAAGCACTGTAAATCTAAACTTCTTCCATAATTTAAGTGTTTGAAGGATGCCAGCAGAAAGCAAGCAGGAACCCACTTCTGGGTGACAGTAACCTGTTTTCATCCAGATTTTTATTTTAATTGAGAAGTTAGATGATTCATTGTCATTTCTTTTGGAAATTAGCTTTTCGGATCTAGGCCAGGAATTTTTTTCCTATGGATACAACAATAAGGGGCATTAACTGTTTTTAATTCCAAATCTAAAGACAAGAACTGTGGAGTTTCAGTAACAGTCTCAGAAGATGAAAAATAAGAAAATGATTTGGAGGTAGACTAAAGATAGAATTTTTTTTCCTTTGGTTATTTTATATATATATATTTTTTAATATATTTTTTTGATTTTTCACAGAGAGGAAGGGAGAGGGATAGAGAGTTAGACACATCGATGAGAAAGACACATTGACCAGCCGCCTCCTGCACACATCCCACCAGGGATGTGCCCGCAACCAAGGCACATGCCCTTGACCGGAATCGAACCCAGGACCCCTCAGTCCACAGATTGATGCTCTATCCACTGAGCCAAACCAGTCTCGGCTGGTTATTTTATATTTTAATGCAGTATTTTACTAGGATTTTTTTTTTTTTAGGATGCTAAGATCCTAAGAAGAAATAAAAAGTCTTACCATTTCCCTAGACATTCAAAAATAAATAAGTAAAAGTTATAAGGGGTATCAGGTTAGAAAAATTGAATATTTGAAAAGATACCAAATTAAAAGTAAAAAAAAAAAATCCAAAGTTAACCACTGTAATCACTTTTTACTAATTGCTTGGGGAGAGGGGCAGAATGTATATTTGTGTAGGTGTAGACACAGACACACACAAATGCACATGTCTTGGTTTCTATTTCACAAAGGTAATCACATAATCCGTGTTCTGCACTTAGTTTCCCTTGCTGCTGTTTTTAACTTAATGATATATCTTGGCAGTTTTTCCATATAACGTGTCCTTCCTCCTCATTCTTCTCAATGGGTTTTTAATCGCGGCATGCAATCCCATTGTATGGACTTACCGTATCTAAGTTAAAACTACATCTCCATGAATGGGCATTTCAGTCATTTCCAGTTTTCTGGTATTATTTTTTAAATGCTCCCATGAATGTCCTGCACATTATGTCCGGATGAGCATTTGAAAGTATTTCCTCAGGCTAGATTGTGAGCAGCGGGACTGCGGAGTTAAAAGGCAGGTGCTTTCCCTACTATCTCGCAGAGAGCGCTCCCTCCCTGTGGAGTGCACAGGAGCCCAGGCTCTCCATGTCTGTCAGCTCTGGGTGTCATCAAACTGTTAAATTTCCACTCTGCGAGGTGCTTTGATCTGTATGTCTTTAATTATAAGTGCGTTTAACCACCTTTTCATACGTGTATTCGCCATTTATATTTCTTTGTCTATTAAAAAAAAAAAAGTACTTCTTCATCCTTTGCCCATTGTTCTATTAGCACTTGGCTTACATGAGTTTTTATAAAGACATTTTTCTTTTTTATTTGCTGCTTGTTGCGTTTATCATTCACCTTTCTACTTTATGATTTTTTTTTCATAGAAAAGATTTTTACTCTGTAACTTAACATATCTTTTTTTTATTTGTATTTTTTATATATATATTCTGTGTTTTGTATCCTACTTAGAAAAGCTCTCACTGCTCCAGCGCCATAAATGTAGCTGAGATTTCTCCTACGCTTGTTTTTTGTTTTCTTTTTCACATGTAGATTTGTGACTTCAGGATTGTATTTTGGGGTAAGAAATGAGTTAGATATCCAGCTTCTCCCCTCGCCCCATTAGCCAATTGTGTGACTATAATTTAACGAATAATCCCTTTTTTCCTCACTAATTTGAAATGCCAGCTTTCTCATAAACTAAGTTCACATGTCTAGTCAGGTCTATTTCTGGATATCATATGTTTTATTGATCTATTTATTATCTCATGTCAAACAATTTTAATTATTATAGCTTCACAATATGTTTTAAAACTGAGTCATAATGGCCACCTTAACTCCAATTATTTTTTCCGAATTTTCCTAACTCTTTCCTCATGTCTGGTTTTCCAGATAAATGTTAATATCATTTTAGGCTATACTTGAAGTCCACACATCATAGGGAGCATGACCAGCACTTCTGAAAATACTGCTTATTTTTTTTTTGTTGGAGTCATAAGAAAAACATACATGCTAGGAGTGAATAGGTGGAGGGGATAATAATGAGCTAGAAAAATATAAATACACTTGAATTGGTTGACTATATCCCAGATGCAATAAAAGAGTCAGAATGGAAAGAAATAGCATAAAATCATTTTTCTTTTTTTCTTTATTTGATTTTGATCTGAGTTGAGAAGAAGGGAGATGGATAGATTCGAGGGGTGGTTTACATCATAGGCATTCTAAGTGAAACAAAATAATTTCATTGTATGGAATAATAAAACCTGAATATATAATCCTATTCTCTTCAAGTAACTAGTCACATTCAAATGAAATTTTTCTCTTGGAGAGGAAAAATAGCATAACAGCATATTAAAATGCAATTCCTAAAAGCAATGTAAACAGTTTTTAAGTTCGTATGTAAATGGCGATGGAAGTGCAAAACAAATTACCTGTCAGGGATCGAGCCGGCACATGTCTCACTTGTGCCATTTGTGCCTGGGCGTTGGGTGACGGTGTCTCTGTGTCTGCTCCATCATTCCCTCGCATGAAATGTGTTTAATGCAAAATCCCCGGGGTCTTTTCCAACGTTACAGTTGCCTCGTCACAACTGGAGTGCCTAAAGTGAAGGAGAAAGTTTGTGAAGCTTTCAGCGGGAGATAATGGGACCCAAACTATCCTTCCTAGATAGGGTGCCAGGAGAGAGAGAGAGAGAGAGAGAGAGAGAGAGAGAGAGAGAGAGAGAGAGAGAGAGAGAGAGAGAGAGAGAGAGAGAGAGAGAGAGATGCACAATTACATATTTTTTTGCCCTCTTAAGTTTGAATTTCAGATAAACAATGAATCACTTTTGTAGGCGTATGTTTCAAATATTGCATGTTCAGGATTTAGCACTACTAATATCCCAAATATCATATGGATAGACACTTAGGCTAAAAATTGTATTTGTTGTTTCTCTGACATTCAGATTTTACTGAGTGTTCTGTGTGTTTTCATTGCTACTCTAGCAATCCTGCTTCTAGATCATGTGTCAAATCCCTCCTGTTGCAATGTCTTTATTCTTAGAGAAACTCAAACCTAAAGAAACTGAGAGAAGAGAGAACATTTTCTTGCTTACTTGCCAAGAAGGCAAAGTAGAAAACCGGATGGAGATCATATGGTAGAGGGTGAAATCCAGAGAATTTCAACCGAATTTTACAGGGCATGGGAATCTCTTGGGCTCTGGTAATCTCTTGGGCTCTGGGATGGCGCTCAGAAAGGTAACACCAATACTGCTCCTCCTGAGACCACACCAAGCGGGAGGTGAAACACGTTTTCCTCCCTAGAGGAAAGAGGCTTTGGGCAGAGGCCATAGCTAATTTAGGAAAGTTTTAAGCATCTGAAGCAAGAAGCATTGATTACTTTAACCAAACGTCGCTCTGATTTCTTTATCACAGGTGCTGGCCAACCCACAACCTTGTGACGTGGTTTTCAAGACCCCAGATCACTCACCACTTCTCTCTTGAGAGTGTCCCCAGGCAATTGTTTAACAGAATCCCATGTCCAGGGGCTCCTCAGCATTCATCTAATTTCTGAAAGGCTATTCAGAAAGGTGGTATCTGTTCTTTCATAGCACAGTGTTTGTGTTTTTTCTGTTTGTTGTTTTTCTTTTTTCTTTTTTTCATTTGCACAATATAAACAAAAGAATATTGAACTTTGATGATTCTGACTAGTTCAAAAGAAGGTCTTAGCATGGTCGGACAGGCTTATGGTTTAAAATGTGTTATTCTCTTCCTTGCGGAATTGGTGAGATAGATGATTCAATAAACCTGTTTTGTTTTAGTATTTCTAGGAATTAAATACTTTGTGTTTACAAAATTGAGCTGCAGAAAGTGCAAGACATGCCAATTTGAGACACGGGGTCTTTTAAGACGGGAGCTTACAAGTAATGCATTTCGGATACTAAAAACCACATCCTATAGCTCTGAGCTATAACTTGTTTTTAATGCAATGGCACTAGTCTGATAATATATACTGTAATCCTGAAACATTTGTGTTACTTACCTTTTGAGGCAGAAGTCATACCGATAAATTATTGCACCGTTAGTATTAGGTTTAGTGTGCTTGGAAGGTTATGTCCTTGATAAGAGTCTGGTCCATCAGATAAGGAGAACCCTTGCCATGTCAGCTAGGCTTGCCCTCTGGACATTGCTCAAGGATAGGGGAACCCAGAGGAAGACATTTTGGTCATCATTTCCAAAGTCCTCCCCAAACTATGTGAGGAAGTTTGATCTTCAAAAGAGTGGTGGACCCATGCCAGCCACCAGGGCTTTGTCGCTTGCTTCTCTCCAGACTCTACATTCAATAAAAGACTCAGCATAAGGCATACGGAAACCCTCATCGAGGCCGGTCCTTCATTACGTGAGACCACTGCTCACCCGTATCTGCAAGGTCTCCGTGAGGGCATAGGCGTCTAAAGAACAGCATGAAGTTCATCCTCATAGAATCCGAATGGCAGGTGATGGGAAAAGCCACTGGAGGGTCATCAGCAAGAGCCTGCAGGTCACATGTGCGCTGCCACCCTAAGGGACACCTGCTCTTCCTCATTCTCCTACATCACCAACTCTCTCTGCTCTCAAGCACTCTGAACCTTGCTCATGGAGGCTTTCGGAGAGCAACTCTTGTGGAGAGCAGCTTACTTTTTAAGTCCTGTGTCCTATCTAGCTGGCCAAGAGGGGAATCTAGTGACTAAGAAGCATCACGTTTTCAATCTCCAGGCTGTTTCCTTTAAGCCTGGGGAATGGGGGACTATTTATTCTGCCTTGAAACGATGGCAAATAAGTGAAGAGGACCTTTTGTGAATGTAGACTGTGGATATCCGCCTAATAGATTCCTGTAGTCATTAAAAAAAGACCAAGTAGATGTTCTTCTGTTACGTAAGCAATAATTTTTTTTTCTGTCCTATTGCGTATGGCTAGCAATTATTTATTTACATGCTAGATGGTTCTCTGCATGTGGGCTCCATATAAGTGCAGAAATTTCCCTCAGCCACTGGAGGTATTTTGACCATTTTGTCACTTGGATGAGCTGCAGTTAGATTGAAATTCACACATCACTTCATTAAAACAATTGTGCCTTAGAAAATGCAAAGCCGTTGCACACAGTATGAATTATGGATGCAGTACATTGAAGAGAGATGAAGTCACTTCCAAGTTCCCAAGACTTCTCCTGGAGGTGTTTGTTGTTTTACAGGGAAAAAAATAAATAAAATTTTAAAAAAAGAAAAATAGAAAACATTAACCTGAAAAAAAAGTTTTGAAAATGTACAGATTAAGTTCAATATTTTGATTAACCACCTGCATGTTTTATTAAATATTTTGATAATGTGATGTTTACACTTTGCATGATATTAGCAGAGTACTTTACCAGAAATAATGCACAAAAACATGTACAATATGATCATTCATAAGCAGTTTTTATAGGATACTTTTTACATGTGGAACTCCATCCGTTATGTAGGGATTATATGAATATTGCACATTCTCTTCTGGTTTCACAGACCCATTTATACACATTTCTTAGTGAGACTCATTGTACATGTATTGAAGCTAGAATCGAGTCAAGAAAAATAAAGCCCATTCTCTGACTGCGAGATGTGCTTTCCCATAATGAACAATAGTCACCAGCACAGAATAATCTCCAACATTTTCTAAATTCTAATTGCCAACTGTTTCTATTTATATATGATTTATATTTCATTTGGAGTCTGTTACATGGCAGCTCAGGCAGACTAGAGCTTGTTTTTTCCAAGGCAGCATAATGAGTGTGATCTATTTCTTTTCAAATAATCTTTGAGATCCCAGGGGGAAAAAATGCTCTGCTCTGTGGAGCTACTATGTAAATGTGTTTGCTTTAAAAAAAAAAAAAAATACAAGTGAGTGATTTATTGTTCCCAAGGAAGTACGTCTGATTTTTCCCCCTCATACTCCAAAAGCCAGTCCTTTCTCTTTCTTAAGAAAAAAAGAATGGGTAACTGTTATTCACGAGCAAACTTTCATGCCATTTTCTCATTCTTTCTATGTAGTGGTATTAATGCAATACATAGTCTAGTTATCTATACACAGTGTAAGACTTAACGAGCTGAAATTATCCACCTCATGTGTGAGTCCGTCCAAAAGAGGTTACTGTTCTGGGTGGGCCAATGTTCTATATCAGTTACACTAACCTTCATTTAAAATATTTATTCTAAAATGCCTCTGAGAAATAGTAAAAAACAAATAAAAAGTTGTCTAAAATGCAACAGCTTTTATAGTAAATGTACATTTATAAATAAAATACTCAAATCAACTTTGTATTCCATTGATGTTTCGTTTGTTTTTTGGAGGGGGGGTCAGATTGGTTTTCTGACTTGGGGAAGAGAGAATCAAGCTTTCTACTATAGCTTTTGGTCCAAGGTTCCATAGTCAGATGATCGTAATGATGCATATTTGCATATGCATATTATGCATTTTTTAGTTCAACTCACATTTACCAGCTAATCACAGGATTCATTAAGGAATTGCCTTCAAACACCTTGAGATGAGGCACATAACCAGGAGAGACCAGGCAAAAGCCAGTGGGAATGATCTGAAACAACCAAATGATGGTCACCTTCCAACACTGGCTAGAGAAAACCAAGTCAAGCACATGTCTGAGATCTTTAACATGGCTGTGTTCTGCTACTTTCCCCAGTGCTGCCCCAAGGTTCCCCTCTCACTGTACTCTGTTTCGCGAGGGTCTTTTTGTCCGTTGTTGAATCAGGGCATAAATGTTGCAAAACAGTGGCATCCTGTGACACTGTTGCTTCCCAAAATACACTTGTAGATCAGGCCAGGTAGCTCAGTTGGTTAGAGCAATACATCAAGGTTGCGAGTTCAATCCCCAGTCAAGGCAGTTACAAGAATCAACCAATGAATGAATAAACAAGTGGGACAACAAATAGATGTTTCTCTCTCTCTCTCTCTCTCTCTCTCTCTCTCTCTCTCTCTCTCTCTCTCTCTCTCAAAAAATCAATTAACAAAATTTTTTTAAAAAGGGAAAAACAAATTGCATTTGTATCTTTACTGGCACTCTGTCCCAAATTTGTAGGTGGTGGTAAGAGCAAGCAAGTTCCTTGGAAGTTTTTGTCACTTTATGATGCAATATGCCAATGGCCACTATGAGCTGTATTCTGCTTTTTTTTTTTGGCATCGTTTGGGAGACAGTAGCTGCTACTATTTCCATAGAAAGGTGAATTCTGTCTTTCATAAAAGAGTTTTAGTTGCTACCAGAGTAGTTTAGTATATCTACTGTTATTTAAATAATTTCATTTAATTATAATGCATTTCAAAACAAAGTATAGGAATGTTATTCTGTCATGTGGTCTACAAACAATTTCTTTATCAAAACAAAACATTTTACTAGCTCTATTTCCATTGGCTTTCTTCAAGACCTAAGGGTCCTAATCTAGACCACAAAAGGATCCCTCCTCATCTTTTGGCATTAAATTAGGGGTTACAAACTTAAACGACTGTAAGGACCAGTTAGGCTTTGCAAATGAGAGCCAAAGGAGATAATAAATGTGGTATAAGCTACAGCAAACAAAGACAAATTCTCCAGAAAGAATGGAAGCAGCAATTTGGCTTCAACCAATGGTCTTCATATGAAATCTCAAGCTTTTTATTTTATTTTATTTTTTAAAATATATTTTATTGATTTTTAACAGAGAGAAAGGGAGAGAGATAGAGAGCTAGAAACGTCGATGAGAGAGAAACATCAACCAGCTGCCTCTTGCACACCCCCTACTGGGGGTGTACCCGCAAGCAAGGTACATGCCTTTGACCGGAATCGAAGCTGGGACCTTTCAGTCCACACACCGATGCTCTACCACTGAGCCAAACCGGCTTTGGCAAAATCTCGAGCTTTTTAAATGTTGACAACAATTTCAAACATTTCCTGACACAATGCCAGTCAAAATTGTGAGACTCCACAAAATATATCTGCAAGTCTAATTTCATTCTTAGGGCACCAGTTTACAACATGTAGCTAAATCTTCTCTCTCCTTTTTTTTTTTTTTTTTTTTGATCAGTACTACTAACTTGCTCTGCTATGAATCCTTTCATTTGACAAATATCTATATATATAAAAGCCTTCCATGCTTGACAGCTACCCAGACTTCTTCAGTCAAGTTTCCAACTTCTAATCCCCAAACAAGACTATAACCCTACATTTTTGACTCTTCAGAGATCAGCTAATAGATAACTGTGGTTTAATAAACATAAATATGGCTGAAGATAGCATGGCGAATTACAAGACAAGAAAGAAAAACAAACTGAAATTCACATATTATTGCTCTTAATCCATAGGCTATGCCTGTTTGCAAAGAGCCGTGTCCACCCTTCCTCCTTAGCTCCCAGCCTCTGTCCTACTGCTGCTAAATTGAGGGGCACACTCCTCTCAGCTGGA